CTATATGTGAAACCATCCTAAAGATTTTTTTCTTTCTTTCTTTTTTTTTTTTTTTGTCTTTGTTTCTTTTATTATGATTGAAGGGCTTTTGGAAAAAATGTCCTCATCTTTCTGAATCTCATTTTGCTCAGCTCCAAAATGGAGAGAGGCTTGCAAGTCGGCTTCCTTCCAAGTGCAATTATCTGTTTTCAGGAAGGCATTTCCCTAACACTTGAAGAGTGATACCACGGGATACAGTCACATCCCCCAAATGTTTGTCAGTGTTGCTGACCCCCAGAGAGATGATCCTCCATTGTGGTATCTTTGCCTTCTTGGTTGGGCTCTGAGTAAAAGGATGTAATGATAAGTGGAAAGAACTCGCCAACTTAAATATACTTGAATCTCAGTCCTGTCATTTCTATCTGCTCTGCTCTTCATTTCTTGGACATATCCTTGCCCCCAGATATTGGGAGATGACTCTGTTCCTTAAATGTAACAAGTTAGAAAGGATGTTAATGGGGCTTGCCAGCTCAGATGTGACAAATGACTTCATTGCTGGTGACTTTGGCAAGGAGAGAAACTATAAAAACGACAACTCCTTTCTCCCGGCCTTTCAGAAGATACTCCTTTCTTCACAGCTGGCCAGATTGCAGTCGTTAACCTCCTTTGCTCTGTGCTTCATCCTTAGGGGAATTTGGAAAGAGGGAATAGCCTGTAATTTTTCTTCTGAATTATCTGCCCATGGGCTTTCTTTGACCCTCTGTAGGACCTTTGTCTTTCATGTCTGTGTTATTTTATTTTTTCAGAACAGCATTTATATGCTTCTTGTGAAAACAGTGATGGTTGTTCAATTTGAAATGATTATATAAACAGATGCTTAAACTTTCTCAATCCACTTAACATTTTTGGAGGCTATGAGGTATGTTAAATTTTTTTTTTTTCTTCACACTATCTACTTAGTCCTTAGTCTTAAACCAAACAGTGTAATAATATTTGGACTATTTGTATCTAATCTCTTTGTTAAGTCCTATCCAATGGTTTTGTGTCTCAGAACATATGACTTCATTCATTCTGTTTGTCAAAGTCAAAAAATTATAGAACTAGAGAGAAAAGGCAATTTGTGTGTCAGGTTTCCATCGTCATTTTCCTTATAAAAATCGAGCTCATGTTCTAGGAAAATACACATGTTTATTGATCCAGGCACTGTTCTAGGATCTTCTCAGTTACTGACTCATTGAATCCTTATAGCAACTCAATGAGATATCTGTTCTTATGAACCCATTTTTCAGATGATGAAACTGAGATGCATAGAAGTGAAGTAACTTGCTTAAAGTTCTGGAAAAAAGCCGAATTTTAACTCAAAGCTCAAAAACAGGACGAGCGTTTAGTTATTCTAAGTTCTTTCCATATTTTAACTCATTTTATCTTTTAAACATGACTATGAGAGATCTATGAACTGGCTCTAATTTCTATATCTGTGTATTGCTCTTGAAAACAACAACAACAACAAACAAACAAACCAAAGAATGAAATGGAAGCAAAAATAATCAGCTTCAGAAGATGAAAATCTTGAGAAAGATCAGAGAGATTTTTGGGATAACTTAAAAAATTTGGCGTCATTTCAGAAATTAGAAAAGTCACAGGAGGGCATTCTATTTTTGAAGAACGTGCTGAGTTGTCAGTGCAGGTCCTTCTGAGGCCATGGATCATCTGCTGCAGAGGCCGGCAGCTCCTGTTCCCGTTAATTCTTACTCTCTTCAAAGTAGGTCAGCTCGTGAGCCTTTGAGTTCTGCCTTTGGCTTTCATGTCACCTGGGCATGTCATCTGGATTCACCTGGAAAGTGGGGATAAGCTCATAGGAGTGTTGTGAGAGTGGAGAGACAGGGGCCTTGCCCTGACCCTTCCTGTGTGGCAGGCATGTGCACTTTGCCCCCACTCTTTGGGGGGTCCTCGAGGCCCTTTGCCGGCTGTTGAATCAGAGAGCTCCACTAGTGCCGTCAAGTCCCTGTCCACACGCTTCTCATGCTCTATGTGGTTATTTGTTTTTTAATTGCGGTAGCATTGGTTTACAACCTCCGTTCTACTGTCAGAGTCCAAGGGTTGGTTTTGGTTTGCTCTTGTCTGTAATTTTGCTTCAGTTCTTTACGTTCCACATTTAAGTGAACTCATCCTGTTTTTACCTTCCTCCTCCTGATTTATTTTGCTTTATATCATTCCCTCCAGTTCCTTCCCCATTGTTACGAATGGTATCCTTGTCATCCTGATCTCTAGACCCAGCCTCGATCTAGTCTGTCAGTCTGTATTGTTAACATGATCCCCAAATGACAGTTTGAGGGAAGTTCGTCTAATCTTTGTTCGTCTAATTCTTAATGTTAGTGAAAGTTTACATTTCCCAGTGTAAGGGAAGGCCAAACACTCTAGACACCCGTGACCTGCTCGCAGCTGCCCAGAGCACCCTCAGCCTAGCCCTGCCCCCAGGGTTTGCTGGGTTCACCAAAGTCTTGGTGAGACCTTGCCAAAGGGCGGGAGGTGGGACTGGACTTGAACTCCGGGGTCAGTCACAGACTGTGTGACTTCCTCTCTTTCTGTGTCCCTCCCCTCCTGTTCTTTTTCAGTTAGATGTTCACATTCCAAGTTTTCCCTTCTTGAACTTTTAACACAACTGGATGTCAGCTGGTTTCTAAACCTCCCTCAAAGTCTAGTTAGCTTGCTCTCTGTCCAAGGCAAATCCTCCTCCCAGCCTTCCTTCTTTCCTGTCTCCTCCCATCTGTCCAAAGCAAGAGCCTACCCCAAAGCAGTTGCCTCTGGCAAGTCAGCATAGCAGCTGGGCACAGAATCTCTATGGGTCATTCCAGTCAGAGCTGTGGGGGTTCTTTACCACTGGGTGCTGAGGTCTGAAGGCTGTCTGTGAGCTTTGAAATGATGTTAAACAAAGGGAAATTTTAATCACTGCCTCCCCAAATTTTAATCACTCGCCTCCTGCCTACACTGCTCATCCCCCCCCCCCCC